GGCACTACTGTGTTGGCCTCTGTCTTGTTCTAAACACTCTTCCGTTGCCTTCTGTTTCTCTCCCCCATCTCTGACCTTCCCCTGTATCCTGTTTGAGGCCACCTCCTTTCTCCCTGCGGCCATCCCTAGGGCATTCCACCTGGGACACTGGTATCACCGCCTTTTCTATTTCTCTGCATTGCCCCTCTTTTTTTTTTTTTTTTTTTTTAAAAAAAGATGACCGGTAAGGGGATCTTAACCCTTGACTTGGTGTTGTCAGCACCACGCTCACCCAGTGAGCTAACTGGACATCCCTATATGGGATCCGAACCCATGGCCTTGGTGTTATCAGCACCACACTCTCCCGATTGAGCCACGGGCCAGCCCCCTGCATTGCCCCTCTTGAGCACAGCACCATCAGGCATCCTGTGGGTGTCTCCAAGGTACCTGAAACTTAATGCGTGAAAAGCACACCTCTTCATTGGCTGAACACCCACCCTTCTCTGGTGAGCTCCACCTCCCTGAAGGTCACCTCTGGCGTCCAGTTCTCCCCACAGAAAGGTGGTCCTTGGCACTGCACATACTCCCTCCTCATATCCAGTCTGTCACCACATCCAGTTTGCTTTAGCTCCCCCATATCTCATGAGCCCTCCCTTTCCTCACCAGTCCATGCCTGCCATGGATCTCTGCAGTCGCTGCTCAGCCAGCCTCTTAACCCTCACCACCCCTTCCCCTGCTCGCTTCTGCTTTTTTTTTTTTTTAAAGATGACCAGTAAGGGGATCCTAACCCTTGACTTGGTGTTGTCAGCACCACGCTCTCCCAAGTGAGCCACAGGCCGGCCCCTCCTTCTGCTCTCCTGATCCCAGTTCAACCATGCTTCCCTTTGAAGCCTTTCTTGAGCCTTGGACTTTGTTCGGTCCACCTGTCAGGACCACCTACAAGACGACTGCCCATGAGAGCCAAGACCTGATGCTGGGGCCTGGTGGTGGGTTAAGATCACTGAATGGGGGCCGGCCCTGTGGCGCACGGGAGAGTGCGCCGCTTGGGAGCACGGTGGCGCTCCTGCTGAGGGTTCAGATCCCATGTGGAGACTGGTTCCCGCTCACTGGCTGAGCGCAGTGCGGGCGCAGCACCGAGGGTTGCGATCCCGTTGCCGGTCAGTAAAAAAGACAAAAAGGAAAAAAAAAAAGAGAGATCACTGAATGGGCTAATGAATCCTCCCAAGGAGTGATCTGTTCCCATATCCTCTGACCAGCAGGCTTGGCTGCCCTTCCCCCCAGCAGTGCCCAGATGCACGGCCTTGGCCACACTCATGTGCGGATTCCATACTCAGGCTGCAGACCTAAGGGTGTTGTTGTGTCCCCTTGCCTCCAAGGGGAAGGTCTTCTTTACCGTTAGTGGAAGAACATGGCTCTTGGTCCTTCAATTCTGTTTTTATGCTGATCCCAGTAAAACCTTTGTAGGTCTACAAAAAACAAATCCACACTTGGGGTTAGCCACTTCTGCCCGAGTGACAGACTCTGCCTTGTGGCACATGGATCGCTTTGAGACAAGCAATTGTGGAACAAGTTTCCTACCTATGTGTTTTGAGTGAGTACTTTAGGAGTTGGGATTTTGAGATAGTTTGTCATCTGAGTTCCTCATCCAAACCTCCCAGGGCGGGGGGTGGGCAAGAGAAGGAAGGGTACCACACCCCAAAACTCCTGTGGTATTGCTCCGTGTTTTCATATGAAGGTAGGGGGAGGTTTACACGTTACATGAGTGTGGTGAGGAGCAGTAGCAGGGCTCCAGGGAGGGATGAGTAGTGATTCTGTTGCTTAATGGTATCCTGGATTGAAGTGGTATCATCTGCCACACACTGCCTCCCTCCTCCACAATAAATAAACAGAACCATAAAAATCCCTTACCTGTGTGTAAAACACATCACAGTTTCAAAGGGGGTTAACGACTCATCACCTTGCATGGGCCGGGATTTGTACATCCACTTTACAGAAGCCCAAGATGGGCTCTAAGAAGTGCGTGCCCAGGAAGTATCAGACCTGGCCCAAATCCCTGCCTGCAAGCTTTATACTAGCAGGTTTAGTTGTTTTTATCCAAGGGACAAAGCTTTTTTCCTCAATTACCAAGAAAACCCAGGGTCAACACTTTTTCTGGCTTTCCTAGGCAGGCAAAGTGATAACATGTTGCAAGGACCAGCAGTCCAGGCAGAGTCAACTTCTGGTACCTGTTGCCACCTCAGAAAGCAATGGAAAGTTTAGCCCCCAACCTCATGCCAGTGGGGATCAAGCTCCTCCTATGCCATTCTGTGGGCTCCGGGCAGGGAGCAGACGTGTTAGGGGAAGATGACAAGAGGTGGCTTCTGCTAGCTGCCTGCAAAAACTCGGGGTGAAGGCCCCAGGATCTCCCGCCCATCCCAGCTCTCCCCCAGCAGCTGGGAGCCCATTGTGGTCCAAGTTTGGGAACACTTGGTGGGTTGTGCAGGTAGTGGCCACTGGAGGGTAGGGGTGTGCAGGAGCCATCACTGGGTGCTCATCATGGCTTCACTGGGTGGGAAAGAGAGAAACCGTTTCTCTGGTGATTCAGTATGATTTTTCCACCTTTCTCTGTATTTCATCTGCAAAATACTTACCCTGTCATTGTATTAATGGACTGCCATATAATGAGAGCTCTAGAGAGGAAACCAGGGAGCTTTCCCCATCAGTGTGCTTTTCAGCCTCAGAGAACCCAGCTTTGTTGTTTGTGGACTTTTGTATATTCAGTCAACATTATTTCCTTAGTTAGACTTTTCAGCCCCAAACATTAAAAAGAATGAAGTAGAGCTGGCTGGGTAGCTCAGTTGGTTAGAGAGTGGTGCTGATAACACCAAGGACCAGGGTTTGATCCCTGTACCACCCAGCTGCCAAAAAAACAAAACATTGAAGTAACTGGTGAGATTGGGAGCAAAGGGCTTGCTCTCTCAGGCTGCAGGCTTTCCCCCCACTTGCTTGGAAGCACCCCATTTCAAAGCCTGACTCATTTTCCCCACAGGATCTTTGGATGGGGGTTAACAGGCAGAGGAGCGAGTGGGTACTCAGGTTTCACTTGGGTTTGTTACGTGCTGGCCTTGGAGTCGTCTGCCTCCTGCTTACCATGTAGCGGTGAACTGGAGGTGGGGTAGCCAAGCCTGCCTCCCCTGCAACCCACAGAGGGTTAAGGGAGGTAGGACCCTTGGCCAGCCTTCCTTGGTTTGGGCTTTAGTTGTCTTGATTTGAGATTTTGGTTGTCAGGTACTCAAGTGTTAACTCCCCTAGCCTGGAACTCAGGGGCCGTGGTTCCCTCTTGCTTCAAATCACTGTGGCGTGTGTTGTGAATGAAGCCTCACTCTTCCTGGAGGCTCTGGGTTGGGCTGGGGGTGGGGAGCAGCAGCCTCCGCCTATATGGGATGGTGAGTCAGTCTTGAGAAGCTAAGGCCAGGGTTCCCATAGCCAGCTGGACAGCTAGGGTGCAGCAGCCTCTGCCTGAAGTTGCCACAGCGTGGGGAGGCCAGGCGTGTCCGTGACCTTGCCCGAACTGCGTGCATTTCAGGGAGCAGAAGGGGCGACTGTGGCAGGAAGTGGATGTTTGTTTTCCCACAGACGTGAACGTGACTTCTTGGGGTGAGATGCTGCCATTGGCCTCGCATGGAGCTGGATATGTTATTAAAAAGCTTCCTGCCCTGCTCTCCACGTGATGATGCCCAGCCTTCTTGTTCTTTCATCAGGCACTTAGTCACGAGGACCAGTGGGAGTCACAGGAGGAGTGGGGACAGGCTTTGGACTTAGACCTGCCTTTGTTCTATGGCTGGGCAAGTATCCTGGCCTTTCTGAGCATCATCGCTCAGAGTGTGACTTTATGTAAATAAATTAAATTCAGAATTTTAATGTATCGTTTCATCTTCAAAAAGTCAAATAAGGGTAAGGGCTACCTACCAGCTGGGTTGCAATGTCCTATGATAAAATATTCTGAATGACATGTTCCTTTTCTAGTTGCAAGTACCTTACTTTAGATATGGAGTAAGGGGACCCTTAGAAGAAAGTTGAGGCTGTTCTCTGAGAGGCAGTTTGGAGAGCTCACAGCCTGGTGTTAACCAGCTCCTAATGCAAGCAAATGTCAGCAGATGGCCACGTCTCCACGTCGCACCACACATCTTTGCACAGAGTCCCTAATCAGGGAGGCCAAGCTGAATTATAACTTTTCTTAACATGGAACCGCCCTGCTCCTCTCTGGCACCCCAAGGTTCTCCCAGGTGAGGGGGCTTGTCGGCAGAGCTCAGGAGCCCTGTGCTGCTTCCCACTGCTCCACACAGGGCACTAACGACATGTGTGCACAGGGGTGTCTAGTCACTTAATCACATCAATGGGTTCTACCTGCGTCATCAAGGACATCTTTCAGTGAAAGCTGTATTTTTAACGCTGCAGTGGTCATCAGAATGATTTGGTGGTGAGGCCTTGACCCGTGCTCAGGTGGCCGCATTCCTCCCGTTTGCTTCAGTGCAGATGTCAGCGCGGTGGAGAGTGCAGCATCTTCATGTGTGGACACCCTGAGCGCCACGCTGACTTAGAGAGGCTTTGAAGTGCTTTAACAAACAATGGAGAGGGAGTTACCTTTTCATAAATGGTGCTTCAAGAGTCTATTGGTTGTCACTCTCGTCCTCTAGTCTATACTGCCACCCCAGCCAGTCATGGTAGAGGCCACCCTGGGCAGCCTAGAGGCCTCAGTATGTGGAGCAGCTTATGTATCGTGTCACAGACACCATGTGTCATACAGGTGGGGCAGCAATCCCCACAGGTGGGTTGGGTGGATGGGGGAGTCACAGACAGCAGGTGGATCTTGGGGCATGGCCCCCCAACATGCTGTGCTTTGTCTAGATGCTCACCCTGCCCAGGGGTTGGCTTTGTGTTTTGGAGGCTACATGGCATCTGAAGCCTCCTCCATCCTCCTCAGCATCTCCTGAGAGGATTGCAGCTTGTGTTGCTTACCTGTTTTTCTTTTTTTCCTTCAGAATATTGACATCACAAACTTCAGCAGCAGCTGGAACGATGGGCTGGCCTTCTGCGCCCTGCTGCATACGTATCTTCCAGCCCACATTCCATATCAAGAACTGAATAGCCAGGATAAGGTGAGTTGAGAAGTGGTGTGGGCGAGAACTTGGGACCACACTGCTGCTGTGGTTTGTGAAAGCCTTGCTGCAGCCAGTCTTATTCTGGGATCAGGTCATTGATGCTGACCCACCTTGTGTCAGGGACTGGCTTGTGTGGACATTTGGATGCTTCACACTTCGCCATGTGTCATTTCCAGAGAGAGCAATCCTGGGTGACGATGATACTAAGGAAGCCGTCCTTCCTGGGCGATGATGATATTTAGGATCAAGGGCTTCACCACAAAGTGGCCAGAGCCAGCCAGACCAGGCTGGCCTGCTGCCACCTCAGGGCCAGGACTGTCACTCTGGGTCTCAGAACTGGCGAGAAACACCAGCCCTGTGCAGTCCCAGGCCATGGTTTGAGATGTCCCATCCAGTGAGCTCCTCAGGGTAGGGGGAGAGGATTTAGGCCCAGAGCTTCTGCCCAGTCCCCTGCCTCCTCCCACATCAGCCCCCACCCCTGCACACCACCCTGGAAGATCCCCACAGGGGAGAAAACTCTTTTGATAGGTGTTTCTTACTAGCTTTTTGAGTATGTACCCAGGTGGCTCTGGGTTGGTATGTCAAAGAGAACCTTTCTGTACTGAGGAAGGAGCAGGCGTTTGTGGGTTGTTCCACCGCTGATTAGGGGAGGGCAGTGGGCAGGGCCCTGGGAGGGGCACTTGGTATAGACCAGGCAGCTTCAGGCTCCCATGTGGGTTTGCTTTGGCACCAGGTGGAGGCGAGTGTTGGTCCTTCAGGCACATGTTTCCTGGTGGCCTGTGGAGGTTGTGGAGCCTTTCTCCTCACCTTGTACATACACTGCAGTGACACGGTTTCTTTTACAGAGAAGGAACTTCACTCTGGCCTTCCAGGCAGCTGAAAGTGTTGGCATCAAGTCCACACTGGTGAGTCCCCATCCCTACTGAGAAGTCACTGGCAGGGTCCTCCTCCTGATTAGGAAGAGCTTCGTTCTTTGTTTGTTTGTTTGTTTTAATTTTATTTTATTTTGTCAATATACAATGTGGTTGGTTATTGTGGCCAATTACCAAAACCTCCCTCCCTCCTCCCTCTCTCCCCTCCCTCCCAACAATGGAGCTTTGTTCTTTTTAAGCTGATTACCGTATGGTCACTGGCAGGGTGGCCTGTGGCTGAGGGTGGGTACAGACATGGGATTTCACCCCTGCCGTGGTGGCACTTTTATGCCTCACGGGAAGTGCCCCAAGTGGTGGGGTGGCTCATGACCGCAGGCCCTGGCAGACCTTGTGCAGGACTGTTCCTTACGGTCACCTCTTCCTTAACAGAATCCTTCTGTTCAGAAGAAAAACATCACACAGTTATGTCACTGTCAAGGGCACATTCCAGCAGGAATATCTGCCTGCTTTTGTCATTCTAGAGCGAAAGCAGGACAAACCCTGAGCATGGCATGTGGCGGCAGAGTCTGAACCAGCTTCTGCACCACTTCACGAGGGCCATGGGAAATGACTGCTCACGGCATGAGAGATGGGGCATAGGAAACCTGTGGGCTGTTAGGTTCTTCTTAGGCCTCTGTCCAGCCCCTGCTGGTGGGCTTCTATCAGGGGCTCTTCCCATCAGCAAGCTGGATTTTCATAATGGAAACTGAGCACACACAGATCAGAGTGCATAGCCCAGGGGATTTCCACAAAGGAGAGAACCCCATAAAGAGAATCAAGCCACAGGACATTCCTAGGACCCCAGAATCCCCCACAGCCCTTCAGGGCCACTTCCCCATCCTGGGTACCCATCACCCTAACTTGTAACAACTGGTTGAGCTTTGCAGAAGTACTTACACTCATATTTATAGTAAAAGAGTGTTCATGCCACAAACATATCTTCTAAATTCATAGAAATATGCTTTTTTAGGGTGACTTCTTGGTCAACTATATAGCAAGAAATGTTATAGTTATTGAAATATTTTCCCATTACTGGATATTTCACATCACATGTGTAAAGTTCTACTATATAAAAAGTGCCAGTCTCCCCACTCTGAAAAGCCTTATAATCAAGATTCTTGCATTGAACAAACAGGTTTTCTGTTTTCCATACCACGTCACCAATGGGTGGCCGTCTCCATCCTGCGTGCTCAGCAGCACATTCTGTGTTCTTCACCCATGGGAAGGATCCTCTCAGACCAGCTCCCTCGGGAAGCTACCGATGCTGTTCAGCAGCAGCATGTCCCTTTTGGAGGCCTCCAGTCACATGTTAAAAGCTCTGAGACACCAGGGTTGGGGGGTGGGCCCACTTTCCCACGTTCATTTTCCTACAATATCAACCCACAGGTAACAGGTCCCTGCTATACTGCAGAATACAGTTAAAGAACAGCGTCTTTGATGGTTTCAGACTATTGCTCCTGTTGAAGGTCATCAGCATGTTGGTTCTGGGAGCCCAACACAGGAAAGCTCTCCTAGACCCTACAGCAGGAGGAGCTTAAGAATAGAGGCGGGTGGGGGGAGGAGATTCCCCCTGGACTAGACGAAGCTCTTCAGCCTTGGGGAGCCATTGTGGGGAGCAGGAAAGCTGCCCCGCGTGTGCCCTGGGGTGGGGCTCAAGCAGGGGCTGCAGTGCCTCCGAGGGGCACTTGGTGGAGATGGAGGGAGACGCCTTTGAAACTTGATCAGCTTAGACCAAAAATCCTTGAAGATCCTCTCCAACCCCAAGAGCCCATATTGCTGTGGTGAGAGGGAATTGGGACAGGCTGTTGGTGACAGTGATTCTAACTGAGCCTCTTCCTTCTGTTAGGACATTAATGAAATGGTGCGGACTGAACGGCCGGATTGGCAAAATGTGATGCTGTATGTGACAGCCATCTACAAGTACTTTGAAACCTGAGCACACCAGGAGGAGCTGCCCTGACAGCTGGGGGACCTTCCGCAGTTTCCAAATGACACCAATGCCATTAGCTACGCACCCCCATAAAGCTTTCAGCAACTCTCTGGGCTGCCCTGCAGTGTATGAGCCTCCAGCCCGGAATCTCCATGTCAGGAGATTCTGCTCAGACCAGGGCTTCTCCCACGTGACCCATCCATTTGGAGATCTGTGGGCAATTGGCTGCTGGAATTTTCCTTCTCAAGAGAATATTGAACTTCATTACTGCTCCTGAGTGTAAAACAAAGGCTTATGCATAGCTAAACATGGGGAAAGGAATAAATTATGTGGGAAAAACGGGGGTTGGTGAAAACTTTAGCCACAGCACTTCTCAACCGCTGGCCAGTGGAGGCTCCGTCATTGGGGAGAACCATGGAGGCAAATCAGTACCTGGCAGAGGTTCCTGCAGCCCAGCACTGGAATGCAGCAGCTTTGGCCTTTATGTGGGCCTTGTTTGAGTGCCTCCCCACAGAAGTCAGGCAGCCACCCCTTCCCCATGACAGGGCTCTCCTGGTCAGCACAATCTAGGGGTTCTCAACTTGAGCTAAGAGAGTATCAAGACAGTTACAGCATGGGCATCCCGGCCCTCAGGTTCTGCCACTGAGTTCACACTGCCAGGCCTCATCAGCAGGAAGCTGTGTAGTCCCCTCGCCAGGTGCCCTGCCACCTGTCATCCAGCCCGGAACCAGTTTGTGGCCCAGCTCTGCTTTAGGTTTCTGGACAAAAGACTTGGTCATAAGGATTTCTCCTGGTTAAAACTTTTGTTTTGTTTTGAGCAATATTGGGGGAAAATGCTCCTGTCTATTAGTACCAAAGTTAATTGTTTTAATAAGCATAGAAATAAAACACAAAGTCTGGACATTAGCATGACAAGAGCAAGGAATGAAGTAGCAAGTAGCAGAGAAAAATGTAAATAGCTTTAGAGAGCCCAGACAGGGTCATTTAAAGTCACTTCTGAGTCACCGAGACATAATCCTTCTAGGCAAGAATTTAAGAAAGTGCCTTAACTTTCCTTGTAAGGGTAGCCTGTCCCCCTCCATGGCCAGGGTGGGATGGATTGGGGTTCAGTGGTAGAGATGGCCCCGCTGCCCTGTCCTGCCTTTCCCTAGGTACCAGGTCTGCACTGTTTGAACCACAGCCTTATTTAAAGGTGGTCTGTTGAGACGACTCAGGCTGGGACTCAACAGCCCTTTTTGGAAACGGAGTCCATGTCTCATGTGTGTGTAACACAGTTGCTGTTGGTTTGAACAGTGTCAAGACCTGCAACTTCCAGAATACAACTGTGTTTGGCACCTGCAAAGCACCTCGAGGAAGACCAGCCACAAGTGGAAGCGGGTTCGCTGCATCATGGATCTGACGCAAAGAGGGGCTCCCAGGAGGCCTACCCAGCCCGACCATGCGCTGAGGGTTCTGTGTTCTAGCATGATTCTTCTAGATTGAGAGTTCAGCATGTCTGTAGCCTAGAAAAGAATGTGGTTATTAGTAAATGGGCTGTGTGTGCATGCAGCCTGCTAGTGTACCACCAGGTGGCCAGGAGCTGCCCATCAGCCCTGCCCGCATGTCCTACCCTGGCAACTCAGGCTGTCACTCCTGGCTGGCAGCTCTTTGAGAGAGGCCAGGCAAGCAGAGTCAAGCAGTGGAACGTACCGGAAGACCCCTGAAGATGCTGACTTCCTAGATGCCTGGCCCAGTCCTCCCTGACTGAGTTCTGTTCTTGTTCCTGAGTTGCTGGGCCTGAGTTAGTTGCTCTGTTGATGGTTAATTATGCTGTCAGTGTGAGTGACTATCCTGTAAGAATCATTGTCTTTAAATGTCTCTCCACTCGGTTTTTCTGAGTTCCCTCCTTCTGCTCTCATTTGCCTTCAAGGAGGCTTTCCACCTGTCTGGATCCAGGGCCATCTGATCCACGGTCATGTTTTTATTTATTATGTCATTGGGTGGGTCTGTTTTGTCCTATGAATGAGAGGACTTTACTGGATCTGCAGTTCACAACGTTGTCCCTTGCTGGCCACATGGGCCCAGCCCTGGCAGCTCTTGCTATGAGGTAGGGGTAGCTGGAATCTTCTGGCGGAAGGTGTTGGAGGAAGGTGGCCACTGCTGATGGGCTGTATGCACTTGGATGGCATTTCCTTTCTGGGAATTCGTGGTCCCAGCATCATGCCCAGGTGTCAGCGGCAAGGCAGAGGGGTGGGCAGAGGCTCACCTCAAGACCCCCACCCAGGTCTGCTGCTTATATTTGCGTGTGGGTCACAGGTGAGGGGATTCCAGAAGCATTACTTTTACCTTTTCTAATAGGATCCTTATAGCACCAATGGCTTTATGGAAATGATTATGGATGGTCATATGTGTTTAGAAGAGATATCTGGAGGTGCTCTTGCTCCAGCAGCATCTGATGTGAAGCATCCCGGAAGTCATCTTGCCTCTGTTCCCTACAAGCACAAACTTTACTGCAAAAGGGCCAGTTTTGTTTCTCTCGATCAAGGCTTCTGCTGACTGACAATACTTTATGTTGTTCTAGTAAACATTCTTGAATGTATTAAAATTGCTGAAACACAACAGGCTTGGCTTTTCTAGCTTGCCCCTCCCTCCCTGCTGTCCCTCTGACATTTCAGGCCAGGACCCTGCAGCCTCCTGGGACTGGCTGTGGCAAAGACGGAGGCACCTCTGAACCCAGCCTTCAGCCCCTCAGGACGAGCCCTCCCTGTGGTGCACTTGGTCACACCTGGGCTGCAGCCCCTCCTTGCATCTGGTCCATGGACCTGACACGGGGATGGCCCAGCTGAGTTCTGTGACCTCTAAGCTTCTGGGACAGGTGCTGAGACCCCAGAAACGGCGTCATAGAATGGAAGCCCTTGCATAGCCTAGACACGTGCCACCCGGGGGTGAAGTATCTGGAGGTTTCTTTTTATTTTTTAAGAAACATTTTGGAGATAATTCTTAAGATGTATAAAATTACAGGGAAACAAACGTTTGATAATCATGCCACCCTAGGGTAACCATTTAAGCCTTTTTTTTCTGTGCGTCTTATGTACAGTAATTATGAATCCACTGAGCACAGCCCAGATTACGTTCTTGTCACCTTGCATATGTCACATGCCAAGGGATCCATGGGGCCTCTGCCTTCTGCACACTGGGTGACCCTGGTGAGCACCCTTCCTGGGCCTGAGACTCCCCAGCAGGGTCGGGTTCAGCAACTGACTGGACCTGAGGAAGCTTGACTTGAGGTGTATCCTGTAAGGGAGCCCCACCCTCCAATGGTGCTGACAGCGGCAGGTCCCCTGGGGTGTGCAGCTCGGCCTCTGCTTGAGCCTGGAGTGCAGGCCCTGAGTGCTTCAGCGCCAGAGTCAGGCGTGTGAGGGACTGAGCTAGGATCAGGCTTGCATCCAGCTCCTCCCAACTCATCAAACACTGCTCTTGTATCCTCTGCTGTATGGAGATGGTTCTGCTGTAGTGTGCAGTGACAGTCCGCTGATGGTCACATCAGGCCCTGTGTGCAGAGGCCTCCATGCCACAGGAGAAGGGATGACCCGGGCCTGTCCCAGGGGCAGCACGGGCCCTCTTGGCTGCCTCCTCCCAGGTGGGAAGGACGCCCTCCGCAAACCTCCCTCCTTCTGCCCGTGCAGCTGACTGGGGAGCAGACCATGAGGCAGACGACTGAGGGGGGTCCTTTGTAGCCCAACTCTTTAACTGGTTCATAGTCTGCAGGGCCAGCCCAAGGGCTTTGCTTTCCTTAACTTAGAGCTGGCTCTGCCTGCCCCAGGCCAGCACCTCTGGGGAAGGAAACGTTTCCACTTTGACTCAGGGAATATTCTGAATCTCTGAGGAGTAGCTTTGATGGGCGAGAGAAGGGAAACAGGTTTCTGGGAGAGTGAGAGATCCAGAAAGGCCCTTGAACCCCTCTGTCCACAGTTTCCAGGGGCTGGGTTCCTGGGCCCCGGTGGCCGTGCCCTGCCCCGCCACCATCTGGGGGCCCTAGTGGCAGTCTGGCCCCATCCTCACAGGGCCGGCACTTACTGCAGCCTTGGGTTGGCCTGGGTTCTATTTTAGGTTGTCCCTTAAGTGAGAAACGGGGACACACCTGCTCTCGACATGCTTGCAGCCACAGTGCTGTGTGTTAGGTGGATTAGGGATGGATTCCTCAGTTGCCAGGATTCAGGACCCTGGATTCTGGCTGGAGCTCTGATCTTAAAAGGTTAGTACTTTGCTGGGCTGCAACTGATGCATCTTTGCCAGGGGCTGAGTTGGAGGGTGTGGGGTCGCCCCTAGGGCTGCTGTGGCTGCAGGTGATCCCTCTAGCATGATTCTACCTTTGTGGGACCTCCTTTAGTCTGAGGATAAATTAGATCCCTGTGAAGTCCCCCCAGTACCCCTTTCGGAGGAGAAGTTGGGTGAGCCCCTCTGGGTGGCCTTGCTGATTTCCAGGGACCCTTCCCAGCACCCACCGGGTGCTTGGGCCTGGCATATCTTCCTCCCTGATGGGGCTCAGCTGCCCCCAAGCAAACAATGAAGGCCAGAGGCTGCCCAGGTGCATCCTGGGCAGGAACAAAGGGCCGGCGGGGCAGGGGTGGGGGTGGGTAGTCTGAGAACGGAATTCTGGAGCAGGAGGGGCCCAGCTGGCCCCACTGTCTGGCCTGAGGAGTCCAAGCCTGGACGGAAGGAAGGGTGGGCGTCCACAGCCTTCAAAGCCTGCCTGGGACTGTGCAGGGAAACCAAGGCCCAGAGATAGAAGCTGGGGCCTGCCCACTGAGTACCACTGAGGGGCAGTGGCCATGCTCAGAGCAGACCTATGCCCCTCATTCTCATGGTTCCCTTGGGCCTGAAGGGCAGCCCAGGACCAGGCAGGCACAGGGGCCTCCCTTAGCTCCACAGCCCCCAGGAGGACCCAGAGGAGAAGACAGATCCACCCATGGGGCAGGCAGTTTGTGAATAGCCTCGTACATGCCACTCCCATTGTCACTGAACTGCAAGGACCTGGCATGTGCCCAGTCTCTGGGCTGCGGCTTCACTGGAGACCTGGGCCAAGGCACCTGATGTGACAAGACCGCTGGGGCAGCACTCCCCCTGCCTCTAACAGGCTGGGAGGGACCACTGTAGGGGAAGGTCAGGGATCTGGTCTGGGCTGGCCTCTCACAGTCTCCTTGGTGCTGGCTCCTCCAGCAGTTCTGGGGTCTTATGGAGCTGGCTCTGGGGCTGAAGCCAAACCAGACCCTGTCTGACCACCCCTGGCCTCAGGACACAGCTCCCCCAACCCTGGGCGCCAATGCTGAGGGATGGGGCACTGATTGCTGGATCCCAGGGGCAAACTGAGGGTTTTGGCCACTGTGGTCCTGAGGACCAGCTTTGGAATGAAGCCTTCACTCCCTGGGATAGGGCACCTAGCAGGCCTATGGTCAGGCCACATGTGGGGAAGTCCAGGCAGGAAGGGTACCGGGACCCAGAATGGAAATGGCAGAGAAGAGAATCACTGGGGTTCACACTGGGGCCTACAGGACAAGAGAGACCCCCAGCATTGGCCAAGTCTCAGTGTCTGCCTCATGAACCCATATAGCCCATTCAGGATGACTCTCAAGACAGGGTGTTGTGTGCATGTTTGAGTGAGGACTTGAATGAATATGGGTCCAGTAGATGTGGACAGGAGGGGTTTGTCCCTATTATAGGAGGAGTTTTACTTTGTGGGGAGGCCCAGAAATAAGGTTGGGGTGCCAAAGCTGTTGCCCCCCAGCCAGGCATTTCCTCCAGCCTTTACCTCATAGTCTGACTCTAGCTCAGCTCCAGGAGGTAACAGGGCAGAAACAACAGGCCTGCAAGAAAACCACAGCACCAGGACAGACACAGCAGCTGGTCCCAGGGCAGTGTCCCACCTGGTGGGAGGAGCTCCCTCCACTAAGGAAACCAAGGGTTGTGGAGGCTGAGGGTGGGCAACCTCCTTGAGAGGCTCAGCAAAGGCCAGGATGGGGTGTGTGTGCATGTGTGTGGGTGTATGTGTGTGTGAGAGGGAGACAGGACCAAGTCTGAGGCTAGAAATGCATCTGGGGACAAGGGGGCAGGAACCAAAAGTGCCCCCAGAGTCTTATGTGGACCTCACCCCACAGGGTCTCAGGTTTAACTCTAGTTGTGTATTGGTCCCAACTCTTCACAGCCCTCCTCCGCCACTGGAGATCTTGAGGGTCCCACTGGATGTGATGGAAAACCAGGACCAGGGGAACCGCGCTGGTGAATGGGAACAGGAACCCAGGCTTTGACTCCAGGAATGAACCAGGAAGATTGCCAGGTGATTGAAGCTGAGTCCCAGCAAGTGAGGTCACCACCGCAGGCTCTTGGGCCCCTCCTCACGTGCTGGCCAGGTGCCTGCGCACCCACTTCCCACCCACTCTCTCCTCCCTGCCATGGGCGGGGGCTTCTGTGGGAGAGATTGTGTCCCTGTCCTGGCCTCAGCCCTGGGATCCAACTTGGCCCTGGGCAAGGCCCTCCACACTGGGCCTCTAGCCGCCAGTCCCAACAGGTTCCAGAATGCAAGCGTTCCTGAAAACCCTGGTCCATCAACGCCCTGGCCATCTGACGCAGTTTATCCTGCTGTGAACAGAATTGGAGTCCATCCACATTCATTCAGATGCAAGAGTCCAAGGGTCGAAGACAAATTCCTTTGCATGGTTAAGCTGGGGATAGACGTGAAGTTGGTCCCAGTTAGAAGCTTCCAGAACAAGAACACAGGGCTGGGGAGAAAGGTTGAAGAGGGAATTCCCAGCCCAAGGGTTGGAGATTCACAGTCTGTTGTGTAGACTCCCAGCCTCTGTTTCCAGAGAAGGGAGGGCGGGGGCCTGGAGGTAAGGGCCTGTTGTTCAGAGAACTGGGGGAGGGGGCCAGGGCCTCACAGGCCACCAGGGGCTGTATAAACAAGAGGGGCCCTGGCCCACAGGCAGGTGGGGAAAGGCAGGGGGGCATAGGAAGTTGGGGCCGGCTTGCTGGAGGCATCCTTTGAGCTGAGATGCCAGCCGCCACCACCACAGGCCCCTGGCAAGGCTCAGGAAGGAAGAGGGTGAGGGCTGGGGGTGGAGGGACGTGGGGACCAGAAGGCGCCTTGAAAGCTGTGGTGCTGAGGCTGGATTTGATCCTTCAGGAACTGGGGAGCCATGGAAAATTTTGAGGAGGTTCTTGCGGGTTAGCTCAGTCGGTGAGAGCGTGGTGCTGATAAACACCAAGGTCTAAGGTTCGAGCCCTGTTACCGGCCAGCCCCCGAAAAAAAAAATTTTTTTTAAGGAGGAGCACCGGGTACTTTCTGGGGGCAGTTGGACATTGGGGAGGGGATGACACAGGGGCACGGACTCAGCCCAGCTCTGATGATAAAGGACAGCCTATCCACAGGAGGCCCAGAGCGACCGGAGCGGCCCTGGGCTCCTCGGAGGAGAGGAGTATGAGGGTGGGACCCGGAAGGCTCCGGGGGCGGGGAGAGGGACTCCCAGGAAGAGGAGGGGGTGCGGCTCTGGAGGAGGGAGGCCAAGCCTGGGAGGGCCAAGGCGGGAGGCTGAGGGCGGGGGATGCGAGCCCTTTGCGGCCTCGCCCTGCCAGGGGCATCGCCTCGGGTCCCCCGCCTCGGATCCCCCGCCGACCTCCGGAGCCTCGGTTTCCCCGCGTGGCGTGGCGGGGCGGGGCGGGGACAGCGCGGGTCTCAAAGCCGCCTGCAGGGGGCGCCCGTGAGGGCGCGGCCGGAGCCGGAGCAGGAGCGGCCACTGAGACAGCTGGAGCCGACGCGCAAGGAACAGGTCAGCGGGGTACCGGGTCGCGGGTGCCGGGGGTCCTAGGCTGGCGGCCAGGCGGCGTGGGGCTGTTGGAGGCTGCTGGGCCGGGAGGACCGAGCGGCTCGGGTCCGCCTCCCCTCAGGCTACCCCGCCACTCCGTCCCTCTCTTCCCGCCACCCCGAACGGGAGTTCACCGACCTAGGTCCGAGCGCTGCTTGGCGGCGGGCACTGGAATGGCCTGCGCAGGGGCGGTTCAGGCGCGGTCACGTCCTAAGCCCGGTCGGGGGGCGGTGTGCAGACCCTCTGAGCTGCCCCACACCGGACCCGAAGGTGCGCAGGGGTAGGCGGGCAGGGGAAGGGCGAGAGTGCGGCGGCCAGAACGGCGGGGATGCGGAGCAGGCGTCTGGACCCGAAGGTAATGGACGGGGAACGTCTGTCGGTCCGTCCGGGCGCCATGGGCCGACCCCAGCGCGCTCCTATGAACCTTTTGGGCGCGACACAGCCAGGGCTGGGCTGGGGGCGCCGAAGCGCGGGCAGACGGAGGGCGGCTCGGACCGCCAGGGACCAGAGAGGACTTCCACAGGTGGAGAAGCCCGGGGCGGGGAGCGGGGAACAGCAAGAGGCAAAGCTCGGCATCCCCAGCGCCTGGGGCGGGGCGAGAAACGGGAGCCTGGAACGCGGGGCCCAGCGCGGGCGCGTCCTGTGAACAGGGGTGGCGGGGACCGGGCTTAGGGGACCCAAAAGAGGCCCGAGGACGGGCGGCGGTGGGTGCGCGCCTCGGACTGATCCTGCCCTTCTGCCGGGCTGCCCCGAGCGGAGGTAGGAGTGGCGGGAATGGTGGCGGCTTTCGAGGGAATTGACGCTGGACGGCCCAGAGGCTCGAGGACGGGGCCGCGAGCCAGAGGAGCAGAGATCCCTGCGTTGGGGCATTTAGACTTCAGTTTTAACGACTGTACAATGGGAGGAACAGGAAGACCGAGGGTTCCACGGCTGGAGAAGCGGGGGGGGGGGGGGGGGGGGGGGGGGGGGGGGGGGGGGGGGGGGGGGGGGGGGGGGGGGGGGGGGGGGGGGGGGGGGGGGGGGGGGGGGGGAGCAGGCGTTTTCCTGGCCCTGGGGGGAGGAAGAGGCCGCCGCCCCCATTTGCCAGCTCTCCTTCCCCATTTGCAGGCAGCACCCCCCTCCCGGAGTCTGCCCTGGACGGGGCCTGTGCTCTCCTGGGGCATGGAGCTCAGGCCTGCCCTGGTACTGGCTGCCCTTTGCTCTGCCTCAGCTGCCAGCTCCCCTTGGACTCCCAGACTGTGCCTCTTCCAGAAGACTCACCATGCCACCTCTGTGCCCATGCAGGGCTGCCCCTGGGGGTATCCTGGCCCTGAGGACCATGGCGGACAGCTCTTTGGAGCACAGGGGGCCAAGGAGGATGATGTGGAGTCAGGGGCTACCTCTTAGCCCTGCTGTGGCTGGTCCTAGAGGCCTTGGGTGGGGCTGGGAAGGTGCCCTGTGGGTCAGTCCCCAATCCTGGCAGATCCATGGCAGGGGCTCTTCACAAGCTTGTCTGCTGGCCATGGTGTCTGCCCTTGCCTTTGGGGTCTCTCAGGCTCTCCGAGGTCCTGGTGTCCCTCATGCAGATCCCAGCAAATGCCCCTCCATCTGCATCCCCTCAGTGCTCATGAGGTTCTGGACTGAGCTGGCTTCCCTGTTCATAGCCTCAAGAAGGCTGAGGGCGCCCAGATGTGTCTGGCAGGAAACAACCTGCACTGGCTGGTCTTTGGGGGCTTGCATGTTGCTTTTCCCATGTTAGCCTGTGAAGTGCAGGTCCCCAAACACACCCTGGGTCCTGCTCTCCAGGAGTCCAGGGCCTAAGAGGGCAATGGCATCCCTCAGGGGCAACCCAGTGGACCAGAGATTTAAATGCCCAACCTGGGTTCTGGTCTTGCCTCCTTGACTCACTTGCTGGGCAAATCACTGCTCCCAGAAATCTGTTTTCTCAACTGTAGAACAGGGTGATGATCCTAGCAATGCCTAATGTACAGGGCTGTGGTGGAGAGGAAATGAGAGATGAGCATTGGCTGGAGGGAGGGGAAGGGGGCAGATTGGGGTCTGTGCTGGAGCTGAAGAACCCTGGAGGGAGGGTGTTAGCCTCATGGATCAGGGGAACAATACCAGGGATCACTGTTGGCAGAGGGATGTAGTGGAATGGAGTTGGGTGCAAGCATGTGGCTTTAGGGCACCCCATCCTGCAAATTTCAGGGCCTGTGCATGGCCTTGGGCAGCACTTGCTGTGTGAGACCGCAGCCCCTGTTGGCTCTCAACAGTGACCTGAAATGTGCCATAGCTCTTGCAAGCAAATCACTGCTCTCAGAAATGTTTTCTAACCTTGTTCCTGAGCCACCTAACCCCAGATGAGCTAGAATTGGCATCCCAGCCATCTTTGTGAAGTCTGTTTTGTCTGGTGCAATTCAAACTGGGCTCTGAGGGCTGTGCACTCATGAGAGCAGAGGGAAAGATGGCCAGATAGATGGACAGACAAAAGAGGGAAGGGCAGGCAAGAAGGGGTTTTGATGTGTGTGATAGAGATGCCGAGGAGGTGCTGAGTGGGCAAAAGGGAAGAGTCCCAGTCCCCAGGGGAAAGATCTGGACTCCAGGAAGCACTGGGGGCTGCAGGAGGGAGGAGGTTGGCCCTGGAGACCCTGGGGTTGGAGGAGGTGAGTGGTCTGGAGGTTGGCTGGAGTGAGGGCAGCAGTGCCAAAGGGTGGGCCTCCAGGTCTATGCTGGCCCCAGAGGGGGGAAGGGAACAGAGCTAGGTTGTGGAGAGGAGCCCCCCAAGAGACTCCTGGGCAGAGCATGGGGCTCTGGGTGGTAGGAAGGGGCAGTTTAGTGGCAGAGAGGAGGCCCCTAGCCCTGCAGCCTGGAAGCCATGGGATCCTGCCAGGGACTGGAGAGGGTATGGATGGAGGCCCCTCAGCCCAGGCCCAGCATAGGGAAACAGCAGGGAGCCCAGTGAAGGCAGGACTTGCCCCAGCTTTCCAGGACCTCTGGCCTCCTCTGATGTGCCTTCTGAGTCTTGCACAAGCTGTTTTCTGTGGTAGGATCTCTCCCCACCTCTTTCCCTTCACCTCCTTGCTCTCTATGTCTGGCCCAAATGGCCCCTCCTCTGAGAAGCCTCCGGGATTCCTTCCGGGCCTATGGCCATTCCTGCTGGACAGACCTGTGTTTTGGAAATTGCTGGGCAGGGGCCGGTGCTGCCATTCATGGCTCCTGCCTCTGTGGATGCTGCTGCTCCACCAGCACAGGTCTTGTCGCCTGGAGGAGAGTCTGCCTGAGCAGGCCAAGGAGAGATGAGCGGTGTGGCTTTGGTGTCTGGGCTGGAGGTCTCTACCCAGAGGCCCCCCGGGCTGGTAGCCATCTGCCCATCCATTCTCAGGGGATTCACCTCTGGCCCCTCAGTGGCTTCTGCAAACCCTAAGCCAGGCCTGGGGAGGCTGCTGAATGGGCAAAGGACTGTGGCCCAGCCCATGGCCATGCTCAGCTTAGCCCAGTTCACCCTGCCTCTTCCCTTCAGCCTCCAGGGCTGGATCATCACACCCGTGCCCCAGGGATCCCCAGCTGTGGGTCTGCATCCCTCTTGTCCTCAGTGCAGCCGCCCCTGGGGCCCTGAACCTATCACTGACCCTTCATCAGGCCCCTCCTGCCAGGGTCCCTCCCCACACCCACTGGGATCTGTGTTCTCCAGGCCATCTAGAAACACCCCCACATGCCCGTCGGCAGCACATTACCTGTCATTGCCATTCGAGGGAGGTCCAGGTGCTGAGCCTTTCATGTGGCGCTGTCTCACCATGGCCTGTGTGCAGGTGAGGAGCTGCGGCACAGAGGGCAAGCCTCTTGTTCACACCTCAGAGAGGGTGTGATAGAGCAGGAGTGGACCCGTGGCCTAAGTCCCCCATGGAGGGGACACCGAGCACCTTTGTGTGAGGTGTGGCCCCTTCGAGGGGGGTTGTCAGGTGAAGCAGCCTATGAGGGGTGAGTGGCAACCTCAGGTGAGGAGGATCAGGGCCCTGTGGCCTCTCCAGCATCTGGCCTGGACATGTGGGGATCAAGGGCCATTCTAGGCCCTTAGTGGAGAGAAGGGAGCTGAGAAGGGAGCCAGGCTGCTCTGTGAGGTGGCGCAGTGCCTCAGCCTCCAGCTTCAGGGAGCTGGTTCTCACCCGTTCCTGCCCACATCCTGCCCCTGGAGCAGAGTGGCAGCTGTGCACATGCAGGCAGTGGGGGAGGGAGCACCACCAGGCATGGCCTGGGTACCGCACCAAGTGCCTGAAGCGGGGCTGCTGTGCAGCCGTGGAGGGAGGTGAGAGGGAGGGAAGAGGAGTCCACACTTGGTGGCCGCTCACCTCCAGACAGCACTGGCAGACACCCACCATGCTCCAACTGATGAGTTTGGGAGGGGCTCAGAGGGTCCTGGGGCCATGGTGTTCTGGGAGGCTCATGCACAGGCCCACCTGGGCCACCCCAAAAGCCAGTTATGGCAGAGCCAGCAGAGGGCTGTGGTTTGGGAGTGGGAGCCAACCTGCCCATCCAGCTTTGCTTCTTAGTTCGTTCGTGCTTCTGCTGAGCTGCCACGAGACAGATGGTGGTGCCTTTTGATTCATCTCCTGTGTCTCCCACCTCTTTCCTCACAGACTTGGTCTCTTTGTGAGGTGTCTGAGAATTCCTCAGCACTGTCTTCAGATCCCCAGCTGTCTCTTCAAGTGTATACATGCTCAAAGCCCCTCACATCTATTGTATTCTTTACTTCAGTCCCTCTACTTTTCATTTCCATTATTTTATATTATTTCTATTCCTAGTCATCTGTTCTAGTTTCATGTCTGCCAGTTGGTTCAATAAGTCCTCATTCTTGTTATAGATGCTATTCCTTTCTTTTATCTCTTTGAAGATCCTACACATCTTTAACAATCATTATTAGATTACTCCATTACCTTTCTCTCTTCTGGAATAAATTAATCTTCATGTTTTTGATATCATTGCTTATTTTTCTTAGCCTTAATTTTCCTCCTGTGCTTTGACATTGTGGTTTGCAGCTCATCTTAAGTGGGAGCAGAGGTCCTGAAGACAGGGAATGACCTGTAGGTATCTGAACACCCTGGGCAGCAGCTGCCTCTCAGGAGTTTGCTGAGCTCTTTCCTTCTTTGAGGCTCCCCTGCTGTAGCTCAGGGCCCAGGTGGGACCAGGCACAGCAGCAGGGGCACAGAGCTGCTCATAGTCCAGTGGTTGGGATGCTGCCTAAAACAGAATAGGTGTTTGTTAAACATTTGCTATGAGAAAGTAGCAGGAGTCTAAAGCTGAGATTCTGGAGCCCAGGAACAGGCCTAGAGTGGCTGCAATGGTCCAGGTCTCTACACTAGGCTCCGTCTATTGTCATTGGCTACACCCAGGAGCTGGTGTGCAAGGCACTGCCTGGAAGCCAGCGGGTGCCTTCATCCAGCAGGCTCTGGGGGGTACAGCCACCATATGGGCATGTGTACAAAGAGCCTCGCTTGTCTGACGTACAAGGAGCCAGAAGAAGTGGGCCAGGAGGTATGTGGGTTTTGATTAAATGGAGTTTTAATTAAAGTGGCTGGGTTGGGGTGGGGATGAAGAGGAAGGCAGGAAGAGACGGCGATTTTGAGTCTGACTGCTGGGAATCCTATGGGGTTGCTCTTTCAAGGTTTATCATGCATGTTCTGCAGCAGGTGTCTCCAGTTTCTATGGGACAGTATCTGCTCTCTGCCCTGTCCCCAACAAGGACAATCACAAGGAAATATTAATTATTAATACTTAATTTCCTCTCCCAGCTAGCAACAGATGACTCAAGGATTAATTAGATAGACAGAGCCAACAGAGAAGGATAGGAAATTGCCAGATCCCAGCCCCGCCCCAGCCCCCTCCCCCTGGGCCTCCAACCTTCCTGTCTGCTCTGGAAGGCTTCTTTCTGAAGGGAGGGAAGCTGAGAGGGGATGGGGGGGCCCCAGGAAGTCTTCCCACTGCTGTGTTTTCCATGGGCACTCAACCCCAGTCCCCAGCCACTCTTGAATGCTCATGGTAAGGCTGAGAGGTCACTTCGCCTCTTTGGGCCTTAGCTTCCTCATCTGTAAAGTAGGGCTTGTGGGGCCAGCGAGAACACTGATGACCATTTCCCAAGCTCCAAGCAGGCTGCCCAAGCTATGTAAGTGGGACCAGTATAGTTGTCCTGGTATCCAGACCAGGAACCTCTTGGAGAATGTAGTGTTTGGCGGCTCGGGGGTGGCTGGTACCTGGCGGCCAGCTGACTATGTGCATTGCTCCCCAAAGACACACTAGTAGCTTGAAATCAGCCATAGTGGGAGCATGTACAGCACAGAAATCGAGCAAAGGCTATAAAACAGGGCACCTCCAGCCTCCTCCCTCCCTGCCTGGCCTGCAGTGCCTCTGGCTCCACCAATCTGCTTTGCTCAGGGCTGGGGTGGGCACAGCTGTGAGTGCTGTGAGTGGATTCTAGTTTGGCAGGTACCCAGGTTGCCTGTGGGACCATGTGAGCCTTGCCTAGGATGTGCTGACAGCAGCTGGAAGGGCCTTGCAGGAATACTGAAGGAAGGGGCAGAGGGGGAATGGACCCTGCTGGGAGCCTTAGGTGTCTTTGGCCACATGCAAGACTGGCCTGAGCAGAAGGGTTTGTTTCATTCTGTGAGACTGGTAGGCAGCAGGAGGTGGCTTCCGTGTAGTCAGGAAGGGTATCAGCACAGAAGGTGGTGGAGAAACACTGAGAACTGGGGGTACACAGGCAGGCACCAGGGCTGCTGGGAGAGCCTCACTGAACAGAGGCCTAGGTCAGGCCCCTGAAGGCACCTTCCAAGCTGGGCATCCCAGCTGATGTGGAGTCAGTCCAGCCCCTAGGGCAGGTGCTGGTGATGTGACCCCATCAGCAGGGCTCTGGGCAGTGAAGCTCCCCTGCCCCATCTCAGCAGAAATGTGGTATGTTCCACATTATCTGCTCCCTGGCAGGGCCCTTGAATCTGGAGGATGGTCTAAGGCCATATCACTCTCTTAGTCTGGGGTTGTCATATTGGCAGAAGGCTGTGTGCCCTTCAATGCAGATTCCCCTAAAGAGGGCCCGAAGGATGTTAGGTGGTTGTCCTCTTCCCCTGAGGAGGCCCTCGTGGTGGGAGGCAGGATCCCCAGGTAGAAGTGGCTCCTCAAGGGCTTGCCGGGCCTGGGAGGCCACATCAGGACCAGGGCCAAGCACCCAGAAGCACCGAGGGACATGGCATCAGAAGACTTGGTCTGGCCTGTCTCTGCCAGGGACACACCTTATGAGCAGCTGGCTGGCAAGTGTCCCTGCAAAGCTGAGGTTCAATGGGACTCAGCCCTCTCTGACTGCCACAGGCTGCTCAAACCTGTTTCTGTAGGAGCTATGGCCTCCTCTCCTCTCTCCTCCTGCTTCCTGGCCCTTCTGCATCAGATGCTCACTCTGAGCCTCCTAGTGGGGCAAGAGAGCCTGGTGGATGCAGAAGAGGCCCACTCGAACTGTGGCTGCAGCCCATGCCCACCCTGGCTCCAGCCACCTGAGGCACTGACAGCATCGGAGTTAGAAGGAAACTTACGGTTCATCTATTTCAACCTCTGTCACCTCATGGACAATATGGGCCAGGTGGTGGGGGAGCCTGCCCCTTTGAACAGGGCCAGGGACCAGGAGTGACCTTCTCCCAAGGCTGCCAGTCCTGCTCAATCTGTCATGTCTTGGAGGACTGGAGGGAAGATGTGGCCACCTGAGCCCATGTGTGGCCACCAAAAGGCAGCCTCCAGCCTCTTGTCCCCAGTCAGGTGGTGGCTGCTGCCCTTGCACCCCTGGGGCTACACAAGGGTTCAGGATGGGAGGATGGGGTGGAGTTGGGGGGCTCTTAGCTCTCAGTAGGAGGCAATTTAGTGGGCAGAGGCCTTCTTGGACTGATACTATTTCAGAAGCCTGAGGGGGAACACTGGGAATTTGGGCAGGGATCCGCCAGCTGGGGAGACTAAGGCTTCTACTTCTACTTCTGAGGGCTGTCAATAATTCCTATGTTTCCATGACATTTTGGCTCTGGGGAGCTGTTTCAAATCTGTTTATTTCCTTCTCACAGAATCATGGATGAGAGCCAAAATGGCCCTGAGAGGTCATCTAGGGTCCAACTGCCTCACTGTATCAATGGGGAAACTGAGGCCCAGAAAAGAAAAACATTGTTGCTCATAGTCTCCCAGCAAGTCCTGGCTGAGCACCCACTTTCTGCCCAACACCAAACTTAAGTCAGTTGTTCCCTGTGTCAGCCAGGCAGAGGAGCAGATGGGGGAGAGGGCGTGGGAGGAGGGAGGTGAGGCGGCTCCCCTAGAAAAGGGAAGCTCGCAGGCAGCCAGCTACAGCGCCTGCCCCACCCAGACATGCAGCTGGCTGGCGAGGGCACCTGGAGGCAGCAGGCTCAGGTTTGTGCCTGCTCCAACAGCGGTAAAGGTGAGAGAACTTACCCACCAGCAGTGGGAGATAGGACCAGAAAGCTCCCCACAGCCCTCCAGATCCAAGCTCCAGGAATGAGGGGGCCTTTTCTTAACTGGGCAGCTGGTGTCCCTTAGGTGGGTGCTAGTAGCTCCTGGGAGAGCTCATGGGGGATGGAGCAGGTCAAATCGGGCTGAGAAGCTGGCTCCGTGAGAGAAGGTGGGTGGGATTGGGAGAGCCCCAGGGGTGAGGGGGCCCTTTCTAGGAGGGTTGTGGAGCTGCTTGTGAGTGCAGGTACCCAGATACTGGCCAGGCTGACAAAGAAGGCTTGAGAAGCTGAGGACAGGAGCCAACATGAGTGACTTAACTTTGAGAGATTCCTGTTCCCCCAGAAAAAAAAAAGAGAACCGGCCCTGAGTCTAGAGTGGGAGGGTCAGTGACCCCAACACCCAGGGTGGTGGAATGCAAGGAGCCTTGGAGAGTGCCAAGGTGTGAGCCGGTGTCCTGGCAGGGGCCAGGCTCTGCCCACAGTCCCTCCTGTGAGAGTTTGGGAGAAGGGGCCGCCTCCTCGGGAGGGATCTTGGCAGGAATTCCACTGGACCAGGCTGAAGCAGTTTTTCTCAGTGATATGTCTGGGCCTGTGTCCTCCTCTGCAATGGGGGCCAGAATTCCAACTCTCCTACCTCCTGGCTGTGATTGGGCAGGGCATGGGTGCAGGTGGTGGGGGGACGTCCTTAGGCTGACATTTGGCCTGCAGGTGAGGGGGGGATCCAAAGTGGAAGGGTCTTCAAGGGGCCAGGGTGGGCATGGGGGTGAGGGGCTGGAAGCCTTCTGCTGGGCCCACTCTCTCATCTCACCAGGGCTCTCCCTTTGCAGGTGCCTCAGGAACCCTGAAACCCAGCTGAGATATGACACCATGCCCAGAGCCCCTGGTGAGGGTGTGGTTTCTGGAGACTTTGAGTCGTTTGTGAAAAAGCTCTTGGAGAGCCCTTGGCAAGGACATTCTTGGCTCCTGTGAGGAAGGGGCTCAGGGGTCTGGGCCCCTCCGCCTGGGCTCCAGCTGGGCTGCAGCTATGGACCGTGAGCTGGCCCGGCCCGTGTCCTCGCTAAGCCTGCCCATCTGCAGCCACATCCACCATGGGCTCTGTGGTGTATATCACAGTGGAGCTGGCAATTGCTGTGCTGGCCATCCTGGGCAATGTGCTAGTGTGCTGGGCTGTGTGGCTCAACAGCAACCTGCAGAATGTCACCAATTACTTTGTGGTGTCACTGGCAGCAGCCGACATCGCGGTGGGAGTGCTTGCCATCCCCTTCGCCATCACCATCAGCATCGGGTTCTGCGCTGCCTGCCACAGCTGCCTCTTCTTCGCCTGCTTCCTCCTGGTCCTCACACAGAGCTCCATCTTCAGCCTCCTGGCCATTGCCATTGACCGCTACATCGCCATCCGCATCCCACTCCGGTGAGCTGGGGCTGGGGGTTCACATCTGCACAGAGGCTGCCTGTGCCCAGGGCCTAGTCTGTGGTGTCAGCATATAGAGCTGAGGACAGGGCCCCGGGGCTTAGTCTGGGACTGCCCAGGGCTGGCACGTGACCAGCAATCGTGCTGATTTGGCTGATCCCTGTGGGCACAGGGCACCCTGGCCCTCCCCAGACATGTTCAGCTGTTGGCAGATGAGTGCAGCCTGGCCTGGTGTCAGGCTGAGGAACACTGGGCCCCATGACCCATGCACTGCACGTGGGTGTGTCTGGGCTGTTCTTCACACACAAGAGCAAAACTCCCTGCATGATGCTGGAACGGGCAGGTGGGCGGGGAACCACGGGAAACCACAGGCCCTCAGAGCTAGAAGCCTGCCTGCCGCCCGCCCTCCCCAGTTCCTCTGAGCCAGTCTCGCAGTGTGCACATTAGGAAAATGACCCAGAGAGGGTAAGTGACTTGGCCAAGTGCCACAGTGAGTCACTAGGACTTATATGCAAATTATGTTGCTCCTCAGGTCACCAAGGCCTCGCAGTCTTGGAGGCAGTTTATGTGCTGAGGGGCTGGCTGGCTGTTGGAGGGGGTTTTTATGGTGAATCTTTTGTGAAGTGACTTCAGCCAAGTATTGTGTAAATTAAGACTTCCCCAGAGGTTGAGTTTACTTGGCATGGCCTCCACCTACCCAGGCCACAGATGAGGCTGGAAAGTGAGTTCCTCCCCTGGGGTGCCCTGGGGCCTCCTGCTCTGTCTCCTTGCCCTTCCATCACAGAGCCACAGCTGGGTGGCTGCGGGCTCTGAGAGGTCTCAAGGATCAGGGTATGCTGTCCCTGTGGTGAACTCTCCCAAACAGGTGGAGTGCCCACCTACAGAGGAAGCCACAGCAGCCCTACTTCGGGCTGAGGGTGCCCCAGCAGGGAGCAGGGCGAGGCTCAGTGAGAAAATGGAAATTTAGAGTGTCAAACCCAAGGAGGCCCTTAGAGGTCATTTCCTCTCATCTTCTGGGTGGAAAAATGAGGCTCAGAGAGGGAAACCAGCTCTCAGGGCCACCCAATGAGTTGGTAGCAGAGCTGGGACCAGGCCTGGGAAGAAACATGGCCTGTCACCCACTCTGACTTCAGCCTTTGTGGAGTGGTCCTGGGCTGCCCCAGTGTCCCCAGAACCTGCACCAAGTAGCCATTCCTGTCAGCTGGGCTCTGTGGGGGACACAGACACCACATCAGGCTGCTCAAGAGAAAGTGAGGAGCCTGAGCCTCCTGTCTTGGGAGAGTCTAGAGCCCTTGCCAAAGCATAAGGGGACTCTGGCTGGCCCTAATAGGCAGCTGAGTTAGAGGCTGTCTGATTCCAGGTAAAGTCTGTGGGGACAGCCTGGGTCCCCACAGCTTCTATCCCTTCCTCCAAGGAGCAAAGCAGAGTCCAAGTTTGTCCAGTGACAGCTCAGAACATGGAAGCTCGGCGGGGGGCTGCCTGTGGGGACCCAGGTGGGCCGGGAACAGAGGCCCAGAGTCCATTTCATGGTGTCAGGCTGAGCCCATGCACTGGTGGGAACCCTATATGGGGAAGCGGAAGCCTAGCTTTCACTTTCTTCTCTTGTTCAAAGGGCAACATTCTTGGGAGAGATCAGGGCTGCTCTTCTCAATTTAAAGTACCTCAGCTTTTTTCTTTTTTCGGTTGCTCCCTTTCCCTCTCTGTTTTCTGAGAGTCAAGAGAATGAATCTCTGATGTAGTAGGATGAGATGTGCTGTGTGGCCATGGAAAATTAGCTGCCCTTCTCTGGGCCCATCTCTTCATCTATAAAATGGGACAATTTAGTCCCTCTGAGCTCATAAAAGTGTTGTGAGGGTCCAGTGAGTGGATGGGAGTGACGGGGACCCTGAAGTGGATTGATGGAGCAGGTGGGGTGGGGATTCAGCTCTTTCCTGAGTGGCTGGAGTTTCAGAACCATGGGTCTGCCCCCACCCTTCACCCCATCTACACCTCCGACTCCCATGACCTTTCAGAGCTGGACCTCAGTTCCACACAGACCTTGAGCCATCTGAGTTCTGCTCAGTGAGGCTCTGGAAAGCTCAGGTTGGTCTCTTCTGCAGGGAGCCGATGGGGATGACGATGATGCTCATCCTCCCTCACAGCAGAGAGCTTTCTAGTTGCCAGAGGATGTTAGCGCAGCACATCCTTTGATCTTCATGGCCCAGCATTGTGGTGGGGTGGATGTTATGACCCTTGTGTTACTCATGAGGAGGCCAGAGCCAGGGAAGGACATACAAGTGTCTCCTGATGTGGATGGACTCCAGGGCCATTCTTGCTATTCCTGGCCCTTTGGTCCCTTCACTTTCCTATTTTTTGAGGCCCGTGGGCCACTAGGCACATATGTGGGGGCTCCTGAGAGCAAGCTAGGCATGAGGGGGAACTTGGAGTCACTGCCTGACTGGTCTCTCCCTTCTCTCCTCCCCCTCCTCCTTTGTCCCCTTAACAGCTGGGAACTCAGACTCCTCTTTATGCTATTTCCTGCCGCACTCAGAAAGGTCCATTTGGCCCCAGGCCTGTACTACTCACCATTTTTTTTTTTAATTCAATTTCAGAAAAATCTATCTCTTTCCCAAGTGCAGGGAACCTGTGGGGCTAGGGCAGGGCCTAGTCAAGGAAGTCCATGAAAAAGAAGCCAGACCAGAGGAAAAGATGTAGCTCTCCCTATCCCCAGAGGATGGAAACCCGGGAAAAGAGACAGGCTTCTTTTTGCAGGGGACTTGTGCACCATTGTCTCCTGTCTCTCTCAGTAGCCATGGTGGGTGCTCTCACTCCTTGAGGAACAGGCCAAGGTACAGGGCGGCAGTTGATGCCAAGGCCTGAAGTAGTATGTAGTGAATCACCCTGACTTCTACGGAGGGCAGGGTTGGGAGAGAGGGCTCCCCGGAGGAGGTGATGCCTGATGCCCATTGCAGGATGGGTAGGATGTGTCTGGGGAAGGGTGGGGGCAAAGCCCAGGCAAAGGTCCTGAGGAAGGAACGAGGGCATGGGCGCTGGGTCAGGGAGAGGTGGCCCGGTTGCTGAGTGACAGAAAGAGATGAGCTGAGTGGGTGGGAAGGGTGTGAGGCCGACTCAGGCCAGTCCATGCTCAGGGAAGGAGTTTGGGCTTCCCCTGTGGGTCAGTGGCTCTTCAACTCTCGGATCACTGACTCTTTTGGACAACTTAGAAAAACTCCTCAGTGTGATGCAAATGAATAGGAAGCCCCACCTAGAATCATGGCACGTATTCTTGGACCATATGGTGAGCCCCTGATGTGGGTAATGGGCATCCCCCAGGAAGAGGCAGCCTGCAAGCTGGAGGATGCAGGGATGCAAAGGGCACTTCCAAATGGGGCTGGCACCAATGTCCTGCTGGAAGGCCTTGGCATCCCTCCCAGCTGGACAGTCTACCTCTGGGGTCTGAGAGGCCAAGATGTGACTGTGTTAGCCCAGAGGATGCTGCTTGGCCAGGCTGGGGCTCACCCATGGTTCCGTTTGGGCCCTGGTGCTGTCCTAGCCCCCTGGAAGCCTTGGTCCAGGGCTCTCAGCCTAAGGGGCTTTCTTTTGAATACCAAAATTAAAATCTATTTGGTATTTTAAAAAATAAATAATGCTTGCACGTGTTAAAACATTAAAAAGGAACAAAAAGGTATATAGTAGAAAGTTGTCCCCTGTGCCTCCTGTCCCCCACCAGAAGGCAATGTTGGGAATCCTTCCAGAGATATTCTTTGCATGTATAGGCAAGTGCTATTAATGTATGTTTTGTTTCTGTCCCCACAAGGTGCTTTTTTTTCGGAGTGCTGTGGAAGACTTCCCCTATGGATTCCCTCATCTGTGAAAGTAGACAATTGCACATACCAGGGATTTCCATACTGTGTCCCCAGAAGCCCTTGGGCCAGACTTTGATGTCCCCGCCAACTCATTAATTCAATAAATGTTTTTCAAGCCCTTTCTCTTCCCCTGTAGCTCGACTTCTATAACTGCCTGGAAATGTGGGCGAGAAGGTCTGCTACTGGAGAACAATTTGAAAACCACCAAAGCAGGTGGCCCCCAGGGTGCAGGCAGCTGTTCACTATCCTGTAACTGCCTGCTTCTGCTTGAGTGCCTCAAGCCACAAGAAGCTCACTGCTGCCTGAGGCAACCCATTTCTCCTGTGAACAGCTCAGCTACTCTGAGCCACAATCTGCCTCCATGTAATTTCCACCCACTGATTCTACATTCTACCTTTAGGGGGCACTAATGACAGGCCCAGGATTCTTAGTCCCATTTTACAAACTGAGGAAACTGAGGCTGAGAGAGGTGAAGTGACAGAACATTTCTGTTTACAGGAATGCACCAGGGCTAGAACTCAGGAAGGGATATGCTTTTCTCAGGAAAGATGTCAAAATTAATGTAGCCTCCCATTTAGTGAGTATTATATAAATCACAATTTATAGAGTACTAAGAACAGTGCCTGGCACACTGTAAGTGCTATATGTAAGTATTAGATGAGGCTCCAGGACAAGTAGACAGGGCAGTGCCCACTCTCTTTTGCTTGGCAGAAATGGGCAAGTCCATGGCTCTCCTCCTGCCGAGGCCATGTTGCAGGCAACCAAGCCACTGAGGAGTGGGGCTGCACAGCTCCTGAGAATGGGCCTGCCTGGTTACTGTTTGGATTCAGAATTGACAAATTTACCTTGGCCTCAGATGCCTCTGGGCTCTTGGAATGTCCACAGCAAGTCCATTCCTCTCCTTGGGCATCAGTTTCCCCACCTGTAAAATGAGGGGTTGGTCTAATAAGTCAGAAGCCAACAGTATTTTTTTTTCTTCCTTAATTTGAATTAGTAGACGAGATTTAAATTTTGAGAGATTTTACCCCCAAAATTAGCTCTCCATCCCCTCCTGAGATCAGTTAACAGTGGACACACACTTTGCATGGCAGCGATGACAGTAAAAGCCTCACCAACCTGTCTCCCACCTTTGTTACCTGTTGGCACCTCTGTTGGCCTCCCATAAACTAGTTTCTATGGATGTTTCCAACTCTGAGTTTAAGTACAGCACAGTTTTCCTTGGCTCCTACCGTGTATCCCTGTCTCAGAGCTGGCAGTGCAGAGATGGATGCAGGAAAGACCTGCCCCCAAGGGGCCCAGATGAGGTAAGGATTTACTGTGCTTGGGTAGCAATCTATCCTGAACTTGAAGGCTAGATTCCTACCCATGGGTAGGGTTTCCAACAGGTAGAGGGTATGATAGTCTGGTCTTGCCAGAATCAAAACTGTTAAACAAAAGATCATCCCTTAGAGATCTTTGAGGTTGCCTTCCTAAATTATGGAGACTTTATTTTTTTGATTGTCCATTCTTTTATAAATCTATGCCACCTTTCCTGTAGGGCTGAGCTCTGTTTCCTGGCCAGCAGATCAAACCACTCCCCAAGTCTGGAACTGGGAATCAGTAGAGTTGGATTTTTGTCTGGCTCTCAGGAATACTGAGCAATGCAGGCAGATTACTGTTCCTCTCTGGACCTCTATACCTCATCCAAGTATTTCCTCTTGAATGTTAAGATCGCCAAATGTTAAGATGTAATTACCTCATTTCTCTCCAGAGGGCTGTAGTTTGATTTGGAGGGGAGAAAATATCTCACCTGGCATGGGACCTCCACCCCTCCTTTACCTCCCTGTGCTGCCTCCCCTTGGGGGCTTCTGGAGACCACAAGTCAAATGGGGAAGAAAGAGCATGGAGTACAGAAGATCCGAATCATCTACAGATCTGATCTGGCTGGTTCTGCCCCCAGCCAATGAGCCCACCCTCCACACCTGTTCCCACTCTCTAAAGGGAAATGTGTTGTAGCATCAACCAACATGGAGGTGATACTCGCCCCCCCCCAAAAAAAATCACTTATTAATTCCCTCAAATCAAACTAAGTCTCAGGATTACTCCGAAGACTAATAAGTATCTGAACATTTGTGCAGTGGCTTCTATTTCTAGGTGCCGCCTCTCCCATTGCCTCCCAGCAGCCTGTGAGATGGGCCAGGCTTACTACTTCCACTCAACAGAAGAGGATGGTGGGGCTGAGAGGCTGGAAGTGACAGGTCCAAGACCTCACAGACAGTAAATAGGGGTGGGGTGCTGCCCTGGGTTTGACTCTTGGCCCTGCCTAACCTGGTTTCTCAGACCTCTGACACTGGTCTCCTCTCCCCAGGTACAATGGCTTGGTGACCGGCATGAGGGCCAAGGGCATCATTGCCATCTGCTGGGTGCTGTCATTTGCTATTGGCCTGACTCCTATGCTGGGCTGGAACAACTGCAGTCAGCAGAAGGAGGGTAAAAACCACTCGCGAGGCTGTGGGGAGGGTCAGGTGGCCTGCCTCTTTGAGGACGTGGTCCCTATGAACTACATGGTGTACTACAACTTCTTTGCTTGTGTGCTGGTGCCCCTGCTGCTCATGCTGGGCGTCTACTTGCGGATCTTCTTGGCAGCCCGGCGACAGCTAAAGCGGATGGAGAGCCAGCCTCTGCCGGGGGAGCGGGCTCAGTCCACACTGCAGAAAGAGGTCCACGCTGCCAAGTCACTGGCCATCATCGTGGGGCTCTTCGCCCTCTGCTGGCTGCCCCTGCACATCATCAACTGCTTCACCTTCTTCTGCCCCCAGTGTGGCCACGCCCCTCCCTGGCTCATGTACCTGGCCATTGTCCTCTCTCACGGCAATTCAGTTGTGAATCCCTTTATCTATGCCTACCGTATCCGCGAGTTCCGCCAGACCTTCCGCAAGATCATTCGCAGCCATGTCCTAAGGCAGCGAGAACCCTTCAAGGCAGCGGGCACCAGTGCCCGGGCTTTGGCAGCTCATGGCAGCAATGGGGAGCAGGTCAGCCTCCGCCTCAATGGCCACCCCCCAGGGTTGTGGACCAATGGTGGTGCTCCCCATCCTGAGCGGAGGCCCAATGGCTATGCCCTGGGGCTGGTGAGTGGAGGGGGTGCTCAAGAGTCCCACAGGGACACAGGCCTCCCAGATGTGGAGCTCCTTAGCCACAAGCTCCAAGGAGCGAGCCCAGAGTTCCCTGGACTAGAGGGTTCCCTCACCCAGGACGAAGCAGGAGTATCCTGATGGCCCATGGAGTTTGCCCCTTCCTAAGAGAAGGAAATCTTTATCTTTCTGTTTGGCTGGACCAGTCGCATTGGGAGAAGAGAAGAGAGAGCATGCCAGGGGACCCTTCAAGTGGCTGGTTCCCACTTTGGACTGAGAGGAGGGTGCCCTAGGCTGGAGCAGCATGAGGCCCAGCAAGAAGGGTTTGGGGTCTGATTCATGTTGTGAGGCCCTGCACCAGGACAGGGCCACAGCACCAGCAGCATTTTGGCTGGACAGGGCCTGGTCCCCCACCCCAGAAGCATCTGAAGCACCACATTGTCTCTGCAGAGCAGCTATGGCATAGCAGACTGGCCTGGCCCTGAGGCTGGGGAGTGGCTCTAACAGTCCCCCTGCCACACATATACCACCCTCCTCAGACTTTCCTAGGGTTCAGGAGCTGCTGGGCATTTGACTATTATTTTTCCAGGAGAAAATGTAAGTGTGAGGAAATCCTTTTTATTTTATTATCTCTCCCTCTCTGGCTGCTAGGTCTGTTGTCGGTCCTGCTGCTAATCTGGCACCAGGAATCTCTGCCCAGGATTCTCAGGCAGTCCTCTCCCACTGCCATGAGCTGCCATGAACTTCCCGGTCCCAGGGTGACAAAGCTGGGCTTGGGGACAGGGAGTTGTAACAGAGCAGTGCCCAAGCATGGGCTCAGGCCCCAGGGTAGAGGTTGGGGCTGGCAGGCCCTGATGCGTGCTCAGGTAGCTCAGAGCCACCCAGTTAGAGGCCCTAACTGCCTTTCCTTCTAAAGGGAATTTTTTTGAGATTAAAATAAAAATGAGCCACATTGTGTTTTAAAGTATGTCTAATGAGAATAGTGTCTGAGTTCCTTTCCCTCCTCCGTAACCAGGCCTGGCGCACACATACGGGTGTATGTTGCATATGTGTGACAGACCGTGTGCGTATGTGCAGACAGGCTCCCATCTTCTGGGGGCACAGGCTGCCTGACTACACCAGAATTCATATGCCCATTCACAGCCCCCAGACCTGCATTTCTGTGAGAGGGCCCTGCAGGGTCTGTAGGAGGAGGGGGCTTGTTCCCCAGCTGCTCACTCTCCAGGGGCTGCTGATCACTCCAACCCTAGGCAGTCATGGTGTGAGGACCTGGCTCCTTCCTCCCCCATTACCTTCCAAATATCCTTAGAGGAAGATCTCTTTGTTTACCTTCTCAGAGCTTTGCCTGCCTCCCCTGGCCCGGCTCCAACACCTACCCCAGTTGAGAGGACACAGAGGTATCTGGAAACAGATCTGGACTGGGACTAAATTGCCTTCCTTTGGAGTCCTCCTACCCCTACTCCCAAAAAAAGGAACCTATAAGGAATGGATGTTTCCTGCTCTGACACCTGCCTCTGGGGTCCCCTGCCTGAAGAGATGATGCCATCATTCTGTGACGGAGAAGTTTGAGGCCCAGGGGAAAGTTAGCAACCCACTCCTAACTGTGACTGTGCCACGTAGGGCTCTATGAGGGCCAGTTTGAGCTCACTCAGGCTGGGACTCAGGGAATGAGCGTTAGAACTTTGGGCAATCCTCAAACAGCCCCGAGTTACAGATTAATGAGCTCAGAGAGGTTAAGCCCTCACGCCAGGTCACACAGCTAGTAAGTGGCAGAAGTGAACTTAAAACCCAGGTATCCAAAAAAAGAAAAAAAGAAAAACTAGGTCTGTCTGACTGCAAAATCCATGCTCCTTTTTCTTTCTTTCCATTAACTTATGACGAGCTATTTCAACCAAACCGAAATGTATAAAATATTGTGTCTCTATCACTTTGCTTAAGAAATGAAACAACTACAGTTGCTGTATCTGACCCTCCCTATATTATTACCCTGCTTCCTATGCCTGGAAATGACTACTTTCTTGAATTTCATTTCATTCCATTTGCATATTTTTACACTTTTAGTACATAGATGCGTATGTAAGTATCCCCAAACCAACACACAATTGTTTTAGCTATCTTTCATTGTTATAACAATCAGAGGTCCTCTAGATTGGCGGCACAGAAGAAACACCTAGGAAGCTTTGATCAGTACTGAAGCCTGAGCTCCTTGCCCCAAGAGACACTGGATTAATTGGCCCGGTGGAGCCAGGCAGCAGAAATTCCCCAGGGTGTTCTTATGGACAGCTAGGGTTAAGAACCCTGCACAGATATAAATGCAGAGTCCACCCTCATCCACACCAGCTTCCTCCCTTCTGCATACTTTGGGTCTGCTGGCTATGGTCTGAGGGTAGACCAGTGGCCTGGGCTGTGCCTGAGGAGGCCAAAAGCAAGGAAGCTGTTGGCGGGAAGAGGCCAGAAAGAGAACTACAAAGGTAGGGAGGAACTTGTCCCTCCTGCTTTTTCTGAGCCCTCTTGGGAACAAACCTTTGGGTGCTGGGCTACACAGGTGCAGTCTTTGGGCTGGGGAGGGCAGGGGCTTAGGAAAGGTTTCCAGGTACAAGTGTACCCCAAATCCTCCCAGGGCCAGGCCTGGCCCTTGTTTCCAGGGGCCCTGCGTCTCATCTGCCCAAGCAGCTCATGTGGGTTGCCTCTGTGAGCAGGCCTTAAGTGTAAGCACTCATGCACAGACACAACACGTGTCACTCCCCAGACCATAAGAAAATACACGTGTGTGCACACTCTCATGGGCAGAGCCTACCTCAACAGGAATAAGTGCTCATGACAGCAGCATAAGAGAGATGTGAAGACTGGTGAAGGGCGTGAGGAACTGCCTAGCCCCACTGGGTGCAGAAGTGTGTCTGCCCCGTCCATGCTGCCCTGGGCCAGGCTTCTGGGGGCAGCAGCCTGGGCTGCTCCAAGCCCTACAGCTCTGTCTAAGGGCCCCTCTGCCCTCTCCCTGCTCTCCCCAAAAGGCTGGAGGTGGATGGCATCCTTCTTTCAGTCATGTCCTGAGCACAAAGGTTCCATCATGATCCATGTCCTTGGAGGCCCCAGCCCTTTACTAGGGCAGGTGTGGCCAGGGCCACAGGGAGGCCTGCAAGCAGAGGCCTGGCTTGGGCTGGGTCTTGACTCTTCACTGGCCCCAATAAGAGACAGGCCTACTGGAGAGCTCCCCTTTCCCCTTGTCCACTAACCACCCCTCCTGAAAACCTACCTTTGCAGCTCTCTCTGTTTATACTAAGGCCCTGCCTTTCCTCTGGGAGCATCACACAGCAGGGAGCTCAGGGAGCTGGGCAGAGCCACAGTTCTGCATGCTGACCAGAGGGCTACGTGGGGGAATGAGAGGAAATGAGCTGCTGATGCCTCCCCACCCCAATCTTCTGGGACTTGGTATCCCAGGAATGGGAAGCTGGCCTTTTCAACTGCAGTAGGGAAACAGAAACCCAGAAGCTCACAGAAGCCAACTGCTCAGGGAGTGAGAAAGGTTCTGTGCAGCCTGCCTAGAATGCCGCTCCTATCCTTCCACACATACAGTCCCCCAGCACAGCCACTGCTACTGGCTCTCACCTCAGTAGGCACCCTCCCCCTGAGCTCCGTGCTGGACAAGTGCTGCCTGAGTACACTGGGCAATGCCCCTCTGCTGGTGGGAGAGGTTACCTTAGGGGAGATGTCCCAGGTGTGCTGTGAGACAGGTGGTTCCCTCCCTGGCCCTTATCTGCTCTGTAAGGGTCTAGTATTACCACCTTCTCCTCCTCTCTACACTGATTCCTCCTCTGTCCCAAGGCGGCCCTTACTGTAGCTGTCAGTCAACATTATCAGTAACTATCACTTAGGACAGCCCCTGTCAGGCTGCAGAGCTAGAGGAGGGGGTGGGAGAATGTCAGATGACTCACAGCCTCAAAGGAGGAGGACGGACACACAGAACATAGAACCTAGGTGCAAGAAGCACCTTTTTTAGACCTTCTGGCTCTATCCCTTTCTTTTTCCAGATGAGAAAGAGCAGCTCAGCAAACTTCCCAACAAGCTGCTCTGCCCTCCCGATAGGCCGTCTTGGAGAGGGGCTGGGCCCAGGGAGAGGCCAGGCTGGTAGTCACCACGAGGCTGGGCAGGTGATGTGTGTAAACAACCCAGGGTCCTCTGAGGGAGGGACATTTTTCTGGCAGTGGGAAAGGCTTTGCCTGGAACCATGAACACTTTTTTGCCCTATCCAAGGAAGCATTCTTGTTTCTGGGAGGATAGATTTTGCAGAATCAGCCATCTGGACTGGCACCTAATAGCCAGCTAAGCCCTGACAGGGCTGGCTAGTGTCAGAGCCCTATCTCCTGACTCTCTGTTCTTCTCCCAACCATTTAATGAGCGCCTGCTGATGCACAGGGAGACTAAGGTAGGAGGTGCACAGGGAGCCAACAATCAACTAAAGGGAACAAGCCAGGTATGGTCTGATGAGGGCCATGAGGGCAACACAGGCTCTGGGAGTTCAGAGGAGGAAAATGCCACATTCAGCTGGAGAGGCAGGGTGGCCTTCGCAGAGGGAGCCAGGTCAAGCTGGCCTTTCAAAGGCGAGTGGTCAGCTCAGGGCCCAATCTCTTCAAGGTGTTTTGTTAGGAACTAACAAAGAAGATCTGGGTAAATCTGCGCCTGATTTATATCTGCCTACACGGAATTATGCCATCTATTTGGAGCCAATTTTCAAGTTAAAATGTTGTCAGAAGGTTGTCACAGTTTTGATCTTTCTTTTCTGTTCTTTCTCAACCCACCCACATTTTCTAGTTGGGTTGGAAAGGGGAGTGAGGGGGATAGAGCCTGCTTTAGATTTAGAGATTTCTGTAATTGTTAACGGTAGATGGGACTTTTAGAAATTATCAAGTTTTCTCTTAGAAAATTTAGTCCCAGAGCCCAATGTCACAACTGTTCTGTTGCTTTCAGAACTTTTAGGGGGACTGGAGAGACCTGGCCAGGCATCCTGCAGTTATCCCCAGGCTTTCTCTTGTGGTTTCAGCTGATCCTCTCGTCTGTCTAGCTCAGAGATGTCAAATAATCTCACCACTTGCCCCTTCCAACCACCACGCTGTTTCACCAAGCTCTGAAAGAGGAGTCAAAGCACCAGGTTCAAACCCTGGCTTTGCCATTGGCTTCTTCTTGACTGTGGCAAGTCACTCTCTGAGCTGCCCAATCCTACTTTTAGATAAAACGGGATAATAAATATGAAAGTGCTTTGGAAGGTATATGTAACATACATGACAGGATTATTCTTATTATTGTTATCATAACAAATCCATTCTTGGTTCAGAAAACACAAGAGGGCAACCAATCAATAGCTCCAGTATTCTTGATATCAGAAAGTCAAAAGGAGGCTAGAAGTCGAAGAAAGACAGAAGGGGAAAGGAGGCTGCTGACCTGGTTTCTGTATTCTGCTCACTGACGTTGCCCAGCCATTGCTAGATGAAGAAACGTGGTGAGTGTGAATTTAAGCCAGTTACCTGGAGAAAGTCTCTGGCCTCTGGGGGCTGTGGGAGGTGGGTGTGGAGCTGGCAGATGAATTAGGTAAGGGGTATTGGTTATGGATCATTTCCTGTCTTCAATGCCATACTGTCTGATCCGTTTATGAAAGTATAGAAACTAGGGAAGTTTGGGCTTATCAAAGAGGTGAACAAAGAGGGATATAGTAAATGTCTGGACTGACAGAATCAGGATTTAAAATGACCTCAGGGGGCTGGACAGATAAAACTGAGCAAGGATCAGTGCAAAGTCCTACACAAGCTTGAAAAGGCAAATGTGCAGTGAGAAGTGGGGGGAGAGAGACCTGTCCTGCCATCAATTCAGGTAAAAGCAACGTGGACATTTCAGTTGCTAAAATTGGCGCTGGCTAACTCTGTGGGACATGACTAGGAAAGAAGCAATTAATAGGATTCCCCCAACTGAAGGGGCTCACTGGGTCCCC